CAGGATCATCATTAGCTGAGATGTAAGGCATTTCACATAAGTCTATTAATTAATTAAGATTAATAGATCGCCATATAAAGGGAAGTGCTCATATGTGCACACATATTTGCAGCCAAGGAACTTGCATGAAAAAGAGACTGTGTAATTGGTTATTTCCTGTTTTGTCTTTACTGGTTTACATTACACTAATACTCTAATAATTACATTTAATATTCAGATTTCAGTTCTGTTCTCTGAAACACCCGATTAAGCTTCAAAGATGAGAACAGCATGGTAGCAGTAGCTACTCTGTAATCACCACAGTGAGGTCTTCAACCTGTACACATTGATCCTGTATTGATCTGTGTATGAGAAACTCTGGTTTAACCCAGTTCCCCATTCTCACTCTCCACTTTCACTCGATATTCTGACTGAAGGGCAGCAAATGTATGATCAGAAGCTGACCAACACAGATCGAGACAAAGAGGGAGACAAATACAAGAAAATAAGAGGCAGGGTTCAGTTACCAGTTCAATACAGCAGTAACAATGATCTTGGCTAAGGATTATTCCCCAGCTTTACCATGTAGTATATGTGTGTTGGAGATTTTTATACTAAGTAGGGGGCAGCCTTATTTACTTCAATCATACATAAAGACCTCCCTTTGCACTTTTATTCTAGCTAGTTGTGAGACATGTCAAATATGCTTAGTTTGCCTTTATAGTGTAACTTTCGCTGCTCTTGTTGTGACAGAATAAGGCTACAAGGAAATGTTTCTCCTCCATCTTAGAACATCAAAAAGGTCTTGCTTCTGTCGCCAAGAAAGATAAATGTGGTGTTGTCGCGTATGCCAGTAAAATGTAAAACCATGTGACAGTTCTCTCAGCCTGGGAGAGGCTTTGTAACAAAATTGTTTACTCTTCCGCTTGAATAGGCTGATCAAACTTTTATTAGCATGCTGGATGAGGGTAAAACTACTCTGCATCAGCAAAATGTTACATTTACATTTACGTTTTATGAGCAAAGCAGAGCTTCTCTTGTGGCTCAGTTAATGTTATTCTGACACCATTTCTCATTTAAAACCTAAATGTATGTTTCCTGTTTAGGGGATCCTTATAGAATCAATAAAGACAAAGTCAGTTTTCCAGCATGAACGTTTGCCTCCTGACAAGGAGATTTAAGCATCTATTTCACATGCAGGAAAAGCAACTGGTGCATGTAATCAATACACCCAAAATTAACCAGTCAATTGTAGAATGTGCAAGCTTTATAATTTAATCAGATGTTAAGAACTGATCACATGGGGATTAAACAGGTGTAAACTATAGACTGGCTGTGAAACTCACCATGAACTGTCAAGCAGCAGATGTGTGATACAATTCAGACAGAGGTTGTTTTTTTCTGATAATCTGATAGGGAATTTCAAGGCACAATCATTTATAAGGAAATGTCAAACAAACCTGACTTGAAAAGCATTTTAAAATGACATGACATGCTACTGTATTTTACAAGACAGTTGAAATGGACCCATACATCATCTACAGACTGTGTAAAAATGAATCTCACATTTGTCTTGACTTCCAGCTGAGGCTCCTTCATCCTCTTGGAGTGCTGTAGCTAATAAAAACTCCCCACGAGGAAATCTCACTCATTTGCTGCCTGTGTCAACAACATCATCTATAAGCATGAAATGTGTGCTGGCAGCTTTTCTGCCTCACAAAACTGTCACCCTGAATGCCAGCTAATTAAGGTGTCAGCAGACGACATTGTTTCATGTAGACACATAAGAGGATTATTTGAAGTCCTTCATTGTTTTCAGTTTTCATAGCTGCTTTAATTTATTAAATACAGAACACCCATGTAATTACTTTATGCTAATATTGCTAACTTTAGGTAAAGATATGTGTTTAGTGTTTTTCTATATCTGCGAATTGGCTATGTGCAGCTGCACTGAGTAATGATGCACGGTGAAATGTTGGAAGTACGTACAAAAAGAAAAATTAAGATTTCATTGATGCCAAAATGAAAGCAGGAATTCACAGTCAGCTGTGGTATATTTAGTCAGCTCATCTCACCATCCTAAAAGGATGATAGATGTTTTATTTTTATGTCCAGCAGTACCCAAAGAAATTCAGTTTTTCCACCTCTATCTTAACAAGATAGAAAGGAGTCCAGCCAACAAAGCTTAAAACAGCAAGTCAGCAGTAGACTTCCAAAACTGGAAGAAAACTCTTTCCACGTAAAGCTTCATAAATGAGGCAAAAATCTTTGTTGTCATGTGAGCATGTATAACTAAGCAGCAGGAGAACATTTGATCATCATGTCACACCACTAAGAACATGCATAGAGGTTCATCTTTTCTAACGTTTACACTATCTGGAGGATTTGCAGAGGTAGAAAGCGTCGATTCATCAGATTTCCCTAAACAACTGATGTGAGGAAAATGTAGCAGATAATGGGGTTAATTTGGCACTTTTGGACTCATGGTGCAATCATCTGCTGGTTACATAAATCACTGGTCCGTCCAATATTGAGCTGTTAAAAAAATATGCTGATGACAATGGATGGATGGATGGATGGATGGATATTGGACTTTATATTTAAGTCACATTAGGTGAAGAAGGATCTGTTGCTGAGAGCAGAATATTAAGGGTAAATGGGTGCCTCTTTTACTTTAAATGATTTTACACAATGATTAAAGCTGATAAGACATGTGTTGCCAATATGCGCTCTTTAATCCTTCCAGTCTTTAATTCAATAATCAGGTTTGTGTTGTGTTCTTCCCAGAGGTGGAATTACTTTATTATTTTTTGTTGATATGTTAAGTTATTGTTTAACACATTATTAAATGCATGCATCTTTCTAAATTCTAACTGTGTTTATATCGTTGTATCATTAAAACTGGAGCTCAGTCTGTTTTTTAAATGGATTAGTAGTGTCATTGCCAAAATGGCAAAGTCACTGCAGACAACATTTTCTATTTTGGGTTTTACACTGTAAAATTTCATATAAAGGTTCTATATTTAAACGTGTCGCAGCAAGTGTCTTCTGTGACTTGAAATCATTTATCACATTAACTTTATGGTGTCAGTTGTTGTGGACCATAATAATTAGTATGGAAAAAGGAACAATTCCTGACAGTGCATCCAAATTTCTTGTCAAATTTGATATATAAAGGAATTATTATTTGTTGTTTTCATTTGTTTTAGTTTACTTGTTATTATACCGATGTATTTTAATCTTTTAAACCTGGATATATGAATATATATATACTTGTAGTTTACACCCACAGGTTCATTCATCCACTGAGATGTGTTTTACTGACTATTCGTTGAGTGCATGACAATGCCTGAGTGTATTTGAGTGGTGTGTGAGTGAGATTGAAAAAAAAAGGGAATAAGAATACTAGCCTACTGAGGAATGCCTTAGAAAAATATGTGTTTTTAAACCTTTTTTATCCTACAAGTAACTAAATTTTCTGCTCAGTGTTTCTCCGCTCTGAGATTCCATTGCCTGCGGGGTGTGATTGTGGAATTTGTCTTTGATAATAAACTGGTGTTCTGCAAACTGCTTTTCACCACTGTCAGTATTAATCAGGAACCTTAAAAGAATGTCCTTCATGCTAGGTTCAATGACAAGTACAATACAGTGTGTCAAATAGTGAATGAAAAGATCCAATATTCTCGTCGTTCTCGTCACTTGTGCATTGGTGTTGATGATTGCGTGGCATTTGGGCATTTTGGTTGTTTGCTGCGCGGGGGGGTGCTGGGTTGGGGGGGAGCACTGGTCTATGTTGTGTGCGCGCCGGCATTACGTTGTCAACTGGCATTTGGGTCGGGGTCTTCTGCGTTTGCATCGCGGTGCGTCTGGGAGTCTTTGTTTTTTTTTTATTTGATTTATTCTTTTTCTTTCTCCCACCCCTATTGGCTACTGGGGTTCTTGCCTGCCTGTTACAGTTGTGGCGCCCCACTCTCACTAACAACTACATTCTTTAACAGGCTTATGCGCACACACATGTACACACACACACATACAGACACATTCACCCACACGCACACAGACACAAACAAATTTAGGTTGTCCCTGGTAGAATTATTCCTGATGCTTTTCTTTCAGTTACTTATTTAAATTATTTATTATTCCAGCTCTCGTGGCTGTGTTGCTTATTTAGTGTGTGTGACTGTTTCTTGTTTTCATTGTTCTCGTAGTTGCCTTAATATGTCAGCTGTTTATAGCTGCTGTTCGGCTGGTTGTCTTTTACTATTATTATTATTTTTATTGTTTGTTTTTGTTTGTGTTTGTTTGTTTGTTGTTGTTTTTCTCCTCCCCAAGCCCCCCTCTCTTTTCTATTGCAGGTTTCGTTGCTTTCTGCAATTGGTGTTTCCCACAGCTTTTCCCTGTTGTCCCCACCTTCTATCCCCCTTCTCTTACAGGTGTTGTCCTTTCTATGTGCTGTGTGTTTGTGCCCCCCCATCCCCGTGTCTGCCCCTCTGTCCGGCCCGGTGACAAATCAATACATAATTAAATAAATAATAAAACAGACAAAGGAGTATTTTAATACTATACTCTATACTGTTAAAGTAAAATCTGTCTGGCACAATATGGTATCCAGGTCATTATACTCTATACCAGGCTGCTGGGCAGGACAGGTTTAAAAAAAAAAAAAAAAGAAAAAAAAAAGAAAATAAACTGGATGTTTTTTACAGTACATAATATACAAAACTATCAAATCATGCAGTACTGTGCATTTTTTGTAGTGACCTACATATGTCAACTCACACACACACGTGTACGCATACATGTGCATAATGAACTGATTTAAATAACAACAAAATATGTGTGGAAGAATTATACAAGAGGGCAGTCTCACCTCATTAGGCATCATTTTGGCAGATTATAGGCTGGCAGACGTGATGATTCTATAATGAAACTGTCAGCAAGACATACTGCTCTTGTGTACTGTATGTTGCTTTTGTAGCTTGCCAAACACAACCATATTCTCTTTTTTCTTTTACTCTTAGGTCCAAAGGAAAGCAACGGCATCAGTAAGAGGACGCTGGGTCCAGACAGGGACTCATCAACACAGGACACAGAGAGCGAAGTCCACTCTGTCACCACTGTCTCTGCAATGAACATAGCCAACCACCAGCATGTCCTTAAGGGCCTGCTGCTTCATGAGCACCTTCTTACAAGGGAGTTCCAGGGCGACCAGCACTTTTTTAGGAGGGATGGCTCTGTGGCTGCATATTCTACCATTCCAGGCTCTTTGTCTGCCTCAGATGCAGGTGACCCTGTCACTCAGCTGGTGCCCCATGAGGATGCGCCAGCCTTCTCAGACATTGCCACTACAGCCACTGCGGCTGCCACCTCCCCACTGACCACATTTTCTCCCACAACACCAAGACCGCCCATGTCTCTTTTTCAAAAGAAGTCCTCTAAGGAGAAGACTGGGGGGGCAGACAAGGTAGAGCCGACAACAGACTCTCTCACCACTTACGTGACACAAAATAATAGAGGTTCAGTCAGTGAAAACAACCTAGTGGCATCCCTATCCTCACAGAGAAGTCGGCCTCAAAGTTGGAGTGCTTTTCCTGCAGAAGCAACTCTTGCTTACTCCTCAATGAGGAGGGAGAAAGGGGAAGCTAGGGAAACAGCACTGAAAAACAAGGCCAACCCTGATCATCCACTCCCTGACCTAACTTCAGCATCCCGAGAAGAGGGTACCACCACGACGTCCACAACCATTATCACAACTACCACCATCACCACCATGCAAACAGCAGGTAGGCATGCTCATGTTTTCTCTGACTTTCAAAGATGTACTGAGCAGAACATTCGACTTTGTGACATAAATAGCAGCAGCATCCAAATAACTTCCCAGATGAAAATTCCAAATTCAGAGTACCTTCCCCCTAACATTTAACACATCCATCCCAGAGGACAAGATAATTAAGCATCAGGTCATCACATCAATATCACTTCTGTTCATTTTGCATGCTGCACACCGCTATTCATCTCTCCACCAGGGACAACAGAGTTGCTCATGTGTCAAAAACAATCTGATTTTCCCTGATGTGTCCTGCCTGTCCTTTCCGCTGGCCACTGAGGGCTGAAGGCCCAAATGAGCAGTGTTGGAGAGGAAATCTGGAGAGATAGTTAGAGGGTTATGGGGCCATGGAGACACAGGTGGGCTGTCAGAAAGATCAGTGGTCCGGGAAAAAGTGAATCACTTGTCTTTTTTTCTGTCTCCCACAGAGCCATGCAGTCTGAATTCCACTGACCCTGAGGGTAACATCGAAATCCTGCAGCAACTTGACTCTGGAGTGGAGTGTAACTACTTGGTTACTGTTTACCTTGGATATGGGATTGAGGTTCAGGTCAGTGCTAAAGGCTAACCATCATGTTGTCTCTTATTAGCACCTACAATATACAACTCCTGATAAAGTGATGGAGTTCAAAACTGCAGTCCACATTAATACAACGGGTTTATCAGAGCTTTTTCAACAGCTGTCTGCATCTGGAAATGATGCTGATAAAATCCATGAGACTGAACCAAAACAGTAAAGTAGTGGGCCATAAAACGAAAACAATCACCTGAAAGACACTATAAAGCTCAATAGACCTGAGAGGAACTGCAGACTCTGGTGACATTTGTCTGTGGGTTTGTCACTATGAATGACCCAATTCACGTCCAAATAGCCATGTGATCCATTGTTAATCTAAAAATATTGATTTTAGCCATTTTAACATGAACTGTGTTGTTTTATACTTGATAACACTGCTGTAAGAAAAATAATGTTGCAGAAAAGGATTTCATTCAACCAGTTAAAAAGCACTGATAAAGTTTGGTTTAGTCTTAGCTGTATTCCCTGGTCTTGTGTGGGTTGATGGACCGGCATAATATTGCTGGGGTGAGTGGGTGGATGGGGGCACAAGTGATGGGGTCTGTCTCAGGTTGAATGTTTGCTTTGTAAGTCTTTTCACAAAAGGTTATAAAAATTAACTGTCAGTGTGTGTGTTCCCTGGCATTTGCAATTCCTCAAACGCCTCATTTACTCACTGGAGACTTTAAAATATGTGAGCTTTGTCTTGCTGCCTCTGGAGGGCTAAGATAAGTCTTGACAGAGTATATGTTTGAGAATGTGTTTTTCTCTGAAAGCTTCCGTTGGGTAACTTAAGTAAATCTCGAACCACTTATAAGCACAGGCACACTTACCTGCACATGTGCATGCACACACACACACACACACACATGCATTTCACCACATTTGATATATCAGCTCTCAACTGCCACTGCTTCTCAAATACATTTGGCAGAAAATATCTCTGGAGACTCTAAAAATTGCAATATATAGGCTATAAAGGGAAAATGTATATTATAATATTTATTCTCACACATCTACCAGGCCTGATAAAGAAACAGGAGGAAGCCATGTGTTTCAGCACCACAATGTGAACAGATGTGGCGCCTGACTCCATCCCCCCTACAGCTAAACTGATAGTGATCTGATGGCAAACTATACAGACAATTGCTTGGCACGGCTGAAGAGAATGAGGAGCCATCTCTGTTCCTAGCGAAGACATAAACTGACTGAAAATGAAAGGACAGAAATTTAAATAAAGTATGTGTCATACCTTCTCATCAGCAATGTGTGAAGCTCCTCTGCCTGGAGGCGTTTCCAGGTTCCAAGGTTTTTAAAGGAATGAAGGAGACACACACAAACACACACAAACACACACACACACACACACACACACACACAGAGATCCACATATGCAAAAATACACAGATAAAGCAGACATTCAAATCTGAAAGTTGGAGCAGGACAGCTGCAATGATACCAATATTGTGAGATTAAGAGGTAGTCAGTAAGATGCTGCAATTCCCTTTGCTGCAAGCATTCTGTCCTGTCAGCCACACTTTATAATACCTTTGGTATACCTCTGGTCAGATTATGGACAGTTGAATGGATTCTGTACATGGATTTCTTTCCGGCATTTGAAAGAAACACAAACACAGAAATATACATAAGTATACGTATGTTCTTGTTGTGGCAGCCGTCCGCCGTTACGGAAGTGAGTCATCATTATAGCACGATAGACCAGTAGTTTGCAAGGGCAAAGCGAAGAAAATTATGTGAGGGAAAAAACTCTGACGAACAGATGCAGTGATTGTATAATAAATATTTATGTAATGTAATATAACTATGGGTGAGTAAAGTATAATTCACAACACACAGTGTCATTTCCAGCACACAGAGACCCCTCTGATTTCCACCAGAGATTGGTGGGGAATAAATAAGCAAGATCAGACCTTTTCTGTGTTTAGTCAATACTCCTTTCAGCAGTCTGGCAGCTTGCAGGAGAGGGAGGATGAAAAATGTATCAGGAGAATTTACTGCCCTCAGCCTGACTGTTCAACCCCTCTGCCACAGCTAACAGCATATAATGCATTACCCCATCTGGTGATTCTGGACGCATTCCGATTTATTTGCAGAATAATTGCATGAATATTAGGAGGCTGATGTATCACCAATTTTCAGCGTCTCATAGATAACCCAATAGTGTACTAATTGCTGAGAGTATATATTTTTAAAAAGTGCACTTTTGTGCAAACTGCACATTTATTTAAAGTGGTCATATTATGCTCATTTTCAGGTTCATCATTTTATTTAGGGGTTGTGCCAGAACAGGTCTACATGGTTTCATTTTCTAATCTCCACAAGATCTTTGTTCGGAGTTGCACATGCACAGTACCGTTAAGGACTACTAGCCAATCAGAAGCAGAGTAGGGTGGGTCCTGAAAAGCCGATAAACACGGCTTCGGTTTGGCTGTAATTTGTAACAAATGTATCTTTCATCCATAAAGTTTACCTGAGCTCTGTCTCTGCATCACGGTAACAACTTTATGTCCATTGACTGCCTGGAGGGTAGCTAATGTTTGTAAGGGAGAGGAGAGGCAGCAGGCGGAGGTCATGGTGTGCTGCAGCTCAGTGTATTTTTCCACTGGTGTTTTTGAGGGCGTGTCTGACTAGCCGCTAGGCGAGTATTATGATGCGCATTTAGCTGTGACATCACAAGAAAAGGGAAGGAAAGGCTGGACTACAAACGAGCTGTCTTCAGGCAGTTCAGAGCAGTGTTTTCTGTAAGAGATGGGAACTTCCTTTGGAGCGGACTTTGGGCTTTTTCACTTTGCAAACCTATTATATGCACAAAAAGAGAGGGGAAAAGCCAAAAAGCATAATATGACCTCTTTAAGTATTCAAGTATTTAATAACTAAATATGTAAAATATGTGCAGGGCATTTGAACAGGTAGAGTGCAAACTATGAGTTATGAGTTAAGATGGAAAATAGAGATTTTTGTCATTCCTAGCTATTATACTATATTACTAATACTGTATAGCTTGGCAAAAATAAATAACTTTAAAGCCTGAGTGGGTTACTGTAATTTGGAGGAAGGCTTTTTTTCACGGTTCAGTTGAAACAATTTTCATGCCCTTCAAATAAACTGTAGGCAGGCTTAAATACAAAATGTAAAGAATAAATCTGACCATCCACTTAAGTTGGTTTGGGTATGATGGATTATTAGATAGTTTGACGACCATTTCAAAACTGTGTTTCTGTGTCATTCAATTTTGAGATATTTACCTGTAAATAAGCAATGATGGGATGAAGATAAAGTATCTGAATGTGTTTCTTCCACATAATCCCCTCACTCTAAATGAAGGTTTTTGCCAAGGAATTGGCAATATCTTATTTCTTATATCACATCTTATTTCTGTCCTCTATATCTGTCTCCTCCTCTTCTCTGCAGTCACTCCGGCAATAAGGTTTTAGTAGAGGACAGATGGAGGTTTTCCAGAACTGGGCTGTGGCATTAAAGTGCTTAAAATCTGTTTTGGAGCTTTTTTATTTGATCAAATAAATCCAGTGGGTTAGCTAGCTATCAGCTCTTTCCAGGCCATCTGTCCCACTCTGATTTTCCCGTCTTCTCTGCTCACTGATCTACCTGCCTGGGTCTCAAAGAGTTACCATCTGAGCCTCAGCACAGGTAGTGTCAGCTGTGTTTCATGGCAGCCACATCTCTGCTTGCTTGCTAAAAAAGAATGTATTGTGTGGGGAGGACTGAGAGGGGTTGATACATTTCAGGGGTTAGGAGCACAGATGTGGCCAATTTCTCCCACAGCCACAAAGCCTGATTGGGGGAGTGTTTCCATTTTCTGACAGGTTTAAAGCAGAATCATTCAAGGACATGGTGAGATTCGGTCAATACTGTATATCTCATTTTTTCTCTTCTCCATCCCTCTCCCAACTCTATCAACCTGTTTACCTTTTTTTCTGTTTTCACCCTCCTCTCATTTATCAGTGTTGCTATTTGTCTATCTCCTCTACCTTGTCTCAATCAGTTTTAATTCTTGTGGTAATAAATGAACAGGACACAGGAATTAACTAACACAACAAGCTTGACTTCTATTCATTGCTTTTTCTTATTAATACCTTTTAGTTTATTCTCCTTGATTATGTTGGTTAAAACAACTAGTGATAGTCAAATGTTAAAGCAAGAGATCAATAATAAGGTAACATAATACTGTAACAAAGATGGTAGGCTGCAAGATTAGAAGCTAGCCTTTACAGCTAAAGTCAATTTGAAATATAAAATTTCCAACCAAGAGAAAGAGAACACAAAACTTTTTCTTTGTTTGTTTCATTAATTAAAGCTTATAAATATCAGACAAAGGCCTTGAGTCTCCGTGGGGAAAATTACTGTTTTTCATCTTCACATGAGTGAATCTTGTTTCAGACAATTCTAAACAAAGCAAAATAACTAATGAACTCAAGGCTGCATATGCTAACGAGTTACACCTAAGGCTGGGATATTGTCGAGGTGGAGCCCCTTTAAGGATTGAGATGTTAGAGAGCATGCAACGTGTTTATAGCTAACCCTGACTTGAGGGTTAACGATTGGTATTTGATGCTGCCTCGGCGACCACGCTCCTCTGACTCCAATCAATACTCATGTTAATAAGCAGCACCAATGCTTGACACACAGTCTCCTCTCAGTGCTGGGTGAATTGCCATATTGATCCCTGCACTCTCATTTTTAATTCCAGTGCGTCTTAGAAGAAGCAAAATGCACATGGCATTGACCCTGGCCAAGTGTGGCTGAAGAGAGGGGGAATTAAATTTGTTTTGTTGGTGTTCAGTGACCGCTAGTGCTCTCATCAAATGAGAGGGCCACAAGTATTATGAAATTTCCACCACAAGCAAGTTTTGACACTTTAAAATACAATGATGCCTGTTATCCTTCCTCTTCACATCTGACCTATACTGAAAGGGGTGTTTTAATAAGGTAATGTACATGTTTTGACCATTCTA